AGGAAAGTAATTTCTGTTAGTGGTTTTGTGTTTACTATTTAAATACAGAATTCTAGGCTGTGGAAAAATTCTAGAATACAGATTTAAGTTGGCTGCTTGAGGATATTTACACTCTCCTTTGCCTACTATATCCAATTAGACAGTTGAAATCTAACCAGTTTGTTTTATTCTTGAATTTTACAATAAAATGATCCTTTAATAGAATTAAATGAATCTTTTCTTGTAAAAAATATATTCGCTTTATAATTACGTTGAGAGAATTCATGCTATGATGGTGGGCTTAGATAGACTCCAAATTTATGGTATTTTTGAGTCTGCAAATTTAGTTATTGACAGATTTGTTATTTTTTTAATTGACTCGAATAACTCACTGAGTTTTACAAGTCAAAAAAACTCTCTCTGGTGAGCCAGAGGGTGGTAAATGGAACTTAGTGTGACAAAAAGGTGTCAGAATTGATTGACAGTTTGAAGCAGCCAAATGAAATTTTTTCAGGAAATCACATTTGATTAATTTGTTCCTATTGTTTATACGTCAAGACAAAATATCTGTAAAGATCATCTCTGTGACAATTGAGTGTTGGTTAGGGAATCATCCATGTAATGCTTAACATCCAGGTAATTTTCCAATCTCTGAATATATTCTCACAAATAAACAAAACACCAAGACTTGTCACTATGGCACACTGAACTGATAGAACTTCTTTTTCCTACTCCAAACACAAATTCTGAATATGGCAAAGGGATCCCAAGTAGATACAGGGGTCTGAATGAGATTAGAATTGCAACACTAAACCTGACATACATTTATTCATTCATTTATTTTTTTATTAACATATAATGTATTATTTATTTTGGGGGTACAGGTCTGTGATTAATCAGTCTTAAACAATTCACAGTGCTCACCATAGCACATACCCTCCCCAATGTCCATCACCCAGCCACCCCATCCCTTCCACCCACCCTCCACTCCAGCAACCCTCAGTTTGTTTCCTGAGATTAAGAGTCTCTTATGGTTTGTCTCCCTCTCTAGTTCCATCTTGTTTTATTTTTCCCTCCCTTCCCCTATACTCCTCTGTTTTGTTTTTTAAATTCCACATATTGAGTGAAATCATATAATTGTCTTTCTCTGATTGACTTATTTCGCTTAGCATAATACCCTCTAGTTCCATCCATGTTGTCGCAAATGGTAAGATTTCATTTTTTAATGGCTGCATAATGTTCCATTGTATATGTATACCACATCTTCTTTATCCATTCATCTGTTGATGGACATCTTGGCTCTTTCCATAGTTTGGCTACTGTGGACGTTGTTGCTATAAGCTTTGGGGTGCATGTACCACTTCGGATCACCACATTTGTATCTTTGGGATAAATACCCAGTAGTGCAATTGCTAGGTCGTACGGTAGCTCTATTTTCAACTTTTTGAGGAACCTCCATACTGTTTTCCAGAGTGGTTGCATCAGTTTGCATTCCCACCAACGTGTAGGAAGGTTCCCTTTTCTCCGCATCCTCGCCAACATCTGTCGTTTCCTGACTTGTTAATTTTAGCCATTCTGACTGGTGTGAGGTGGTGTCTCATTGAGGTTTTGATTTGGATTTCCCTGATGCCGAGCGATGTTGAGCACTTTTTCATGTGTCTCTTGGCCATTTGGATGTCTTCTTTGCAGAAATGTCTATTCATGTCTTCTGCCCATTTCTTGATTGGATTATTTGTTCTTTGGGTGTTGAGTTTGATAAATTTCTTTATAGATTTTGGATACTAGCCCTTTATCTGATACGTCATTTGCAAATATCTTCTTCCATTTTGTCGGTTATCTTTTGGTTTTGTTGACTGTTTCTTTTGCTGTGCAAAAGCTTTTTATCTTGAAGTTCCAATAGTTCATTTTTGCCCTTGCTTCTGTTGCCTTTGGTGATGTGTCTAGGAAGAAGTTGCTGCAGCTGAGGTCGAAGAGGTTGCTGCCTGTGTTCTGCTCAAGGATTTTGATGGATTCCTGGCTCATATTTAGGTCTTTCATCCACTTTGAGTCTATCTTTGTGTGTGGTGTAAGGAAACGGTCGTTTTATTCTTCTGCATGTGGCTGTCCAATTTTCCCAACACAGTTTCTTCAACATTTGTTGAAGAGACTGTCTTTATTCCATTGGACATTCTTTCCTACTTTGTCGAAGATTAGTTGACCACAGAGTTGAGGGTCCATTTCTGGGCTCTCTATTCTGTTCCATTGATCTATGTGTCTGTTTTTGTGCCAGTACCATACTGTCTTGATGATGACAGCTTTGTAATAGATCTTGAAGTCCGGAATTGTGATGCCACCAGCTTTGCTTTTCTTTTTCAACATTCCTCTGGCTATTTGGGGTCTTTTCTGGTTCCATACAAATGTTAGGATTATTTGTTCCATTTCTTTGAAAAAAGTTGGTGGTATTTTGATAGGGATGCATTAAATGTGTAGATTGCTCTAGGTAGCATTGACATCTTCACAATATTTGTTCTTTCAATCCACGAGCATGGAACATTTTTCCATTTCTTTGTGTCTTCCTCAATTTCTTTCATGAGTATTCTATAGTTTTCTGAGTACAGATTCTTTGTCTCTTTGGTTAGATTTATCCCTAGGTATCTTATGGTTTTGGGTGCAATTGTAAATGGGATTGACTCTTTCATTTCTTTTTTTTCTTTCTTGTTGTTTGTGTATAGAAATGCTACTGATTTCTGTGCATTGATTTTATATCCTGCCATTTTACTGAATTCCTGTATGAGTTCTAGCAGTTTTGGGGTGGAGTTTTTTGGGTTTTCCACAGGCAAAGAATGAGAGTTTTGACTTCTTCTTTGCCAATTCAGATGTCTTTTATTTCTTTTTGTTGTCTGATTGCTGAGGCTAGGACTTCTAGTACTATGTTGAATAGCAGTGGTGGTAGTGGACATCCCTGCTGTGTCCCTGACCTTAGGGGAAGAGCTCTCAGTTTTTCCCCATTGGGAATCATATTTGCTATAGGTTTGTCATAGAACCTGACATACATTTAAGAAGTGAGATCTTTACACTCCTAAGGGTCCTGAGACAAAGCCTAAGGCCGTGAATGGAATGGATAGGAACTGAGTTCCCTAAATCATGGTAGAGACACAAAGGTCTATACCTTTGGTTTGTTTGTTTGTTTGTTTTGTTTTATTCACCCATTAAACAAATAGTGTTTGAGGGTTCACTGTATACTAGGCACTGGTAGGATAGCAGTGAAAAAAAAAAAAAAGAAAGAAAGCAAAACTCTCTGTCCTTGTGTGGAAGGGAGGGGAGATATAAGGTAAAGCAGTATACATTAGACTGTGATAGATGATGTAGAAAAATAAACAGGTAAGAGATATAAGGAATGTGGTATTTTTGTAAGTCTAAATGAAGTCTTTTGAGAAGTGTTTACTAAAAAAATATCTTGAAGTAAAGAATGGAAGGAGGTGAGTCAAGGCCTTAGAGACATATCCATGTGTACACCCAGGCAGAAGAAACCACAATTACAAAAGCCTGCAGTTAGGAGCCTTGCAGGAAAATTCAAGAACAGTAAGGTGACCATTGTGAAGAAAAAAAAAAAACAAAAACAGAGCAAGAAAATATAAGGAAATTATATTACAAAGTTGAATGTTAATGAGCAGATAGATCACATGGATATGTTTAAGGGAAGTAGGGGTGGAAGTGGGAAGTTTAATTCTTAGGCTATGGTAATCATCCAGGCAAGAGATGATGGTGGATTGGACCAGACTGGTAACAGTAGAGGTTATGAGAATATCCTGGCTATTGTTCTAAGGCAAAGTCCCTAGGGTGTGCTCACAGATTGTGTATATGTAAGATAGTTAGAAAAAAGTCAAAAAATGATACCAAAATTTTTGTTTTGATACTGGAGGGATGAAGTCATTAGCTGAGATGAGGAAGATTGTGGAAAATGCCATTTTGGCAGAAAAACCAGAACTCAGTCAAAAGATATGCTAAGGTTAAGATGGCTTTTAGAAATCTAAGTAGCTGTCAAGTAGACAATTAGATATATGAGTCTAGATTTGATGGGAAATGTCTGGGTTAAAGATGTAAATTGGGAAATCATCAGTGTATAGATAATATTTAAAGCCACCAAATGGGGTGAAATCACCAAGGAAATAAGTATAGATAGATTCATGGTTATTAAATCATGTTCTTGAAAGACTGTATCTCCTGGCCCAGGGTAGGCTGAAAATTGGATGCCCAGGGCTGTGACTAGGAAAAGATTCATGCATTTACAACTAGAAAACCAAACCTGCTACAGGTGAGAGGGTGGGATCTGTATCCATCCTTCTCAACTTAGCACAAAACTTACATTGATAAATTAATAAGAAATCTGGCACACTTTAATGTAATCTGTGAGTCTCCAGGGAGAGAAACAAAGCTCTGCAGCATAAAATGCTTCTTGACTTAGGAGTCTCCATAAAACAACATTCCCACTAAAGATGACCTAGCTATCAGTATTTACAAACCACAATAAGATATCAATAAGTACTTAAAAAAAGGGGGCGGGAAATGTACACACAAAGAGCATGTTATGAAAGTAAATGCCATCTTTGAAAAACTGAAAAAGATGATTAAAAAATGATAGATGTATTAAAGTGGATTACACATACATGAAGCAAGACGTATAGTGCATTAGAAGATAGATTTGGGGAGGCTATCCATAATGCATCTCAGAAAGATAAAAGATAATGAATATATGAGGAAGAAATTAAGAGATGGAGAGAATGGAATTAAAAGGGCCAACTTAAATTTAATGAATACTAAAGGACAGAATGAGGAAAAGGAAGTAATGAAAGGATAATGGCAGGCAATTTTCTAGAACTGAAGAAAGTTGTTAAGTCTTCAACTTGAGGGAGAATCCTAGTGTCTTAAGAAGTATAAATAAAAATAAATCCTCTCTTTTGCTCAGGCCCATGATGCGGGTATGATGGGCAAGTGTCACAGTCTTCGCACTGCCAGGAGGCCCTGTAGCCACTGATGAGATCATGATAAACAGTACATGTGGGCACAGCCCTGAAGCCCATGTGGGCACAGCCCTGAAGGCCAACCCTTTAGAGGTGCTTCCCATGCAGAGGGAATTCTGCAGGAAAAAAGTAGGCGTTGAAGCCAGACAGCCAAATTCTGCCATCAAGGAAGTATGTCAGGGTCCAGCTGATCAAGAATGGCAAAAAAAACCCATAGCCTTTGTACCTAATGATGGTTGTTCGAATTTTATTGAGGAAAGTGATGAAGTTCTAGTTGCTGGATTTGGTCACAAAGGTCATGCTGTTGGTGATGTTCCTGGGGTTTGCTTTAAAGTTGTCAAAGGAACCAATGTCTCTCTTTTGGCCTTATACAAAGACAGGAAGGGAAGACCAAGATCATAGGTTTTGATGGTGAACTATGACAATAATAAATTTTCATATTGCAAAAAAATAAGTAAATCCACACCTAAACTCAACAGCTGGACTGACCTTAGACCTTCTCAAAAGTAACAATACATGTAAGAAGAAAATAATATATTCAAGAAACTGAGAGAAAATCATTGTCAATCTAGAATTATATAGGTAGTTACACTATCATTCAGGAGTGAAAGGGAAATAAACACATTCTCAGGCAAAGACAGAATCAGTTTTGTCATACATAGACCTTCCTTTAAGCTATGTATAGAGAATCTATACATCTCTGAAAGAGATTCATTAGATTTTTACATTTCTGTTTTCATTTTTGGCACAAAGACTTTAAGTCTAAATAGGGATTGCCCTAGTGAGAAGAGAGGGTGTGAGAGAGAAGGAAACAAAACTATTTATATTTTTATGTATTTTGGATGTATTTGGCTTCAAGAAACAAATCTAAAATGGTTTAAATTGTTATAAAAATGACTAATAGAAATCAAGAGGTAAAGTAGGCTCTTGGTTAGTAAATCAGTGGCTAACTGATACTAGCAAGAGCCCAATATTTTGCTGTGACTTCAGTTGCAACCTGAATTTGCCAGCTAACTTTGGAGCCATAAATTAACTGTAGCAGTTCCATAAATGATGCACAGGAATAACCAGTCTCAGAGGAATTCATGGGTCTATTCTGTTCCTGCTTATTAGGGAGAAAACAACAACAACAACAACAACATAATGTAACACAGTGAGGATAAATTTTCCAAAAGCCCCAGGTAGACTTCCCTCATGATCCATTGGCCAAGGTTAGAGCATATTCCCATTACCAAGGTTAGAGCATACTCCCATTACCGAACCTGGAGGAGAGCAAGGAGCTATTGTAATTTGCATAGACCTATTCACTGGAGGAAGATTTGATTTTGAGGAGTCAATCACAAGGAAGAGAAAGGGATCAGGTAGGAAGTGTAGAAATCTAAGGCCTTATCTCCCTCCAGAGGAGGATGAACAGATTGACATATTTATCTGTATTTTAGATGTAACCAGATAAACAGTAACCCCAGAAAGCTGGTGAATAACACTAAGAACACGAACAACATACAAAAACTCATCAAAAGGAGAGAGTATTACAAGAAAGATAAAATTATCAGGAAGACTTTATAATCACAAACCTTAAAAGTAAAGAATATAGTTTATTATATAAATAATGTAAAAATTATAATTTTCTCAAATATTATATATTATATATTTTTCTCAAGCAAATACAATGATTATACTATTGAATGCTTTTAATCCTCTCTGTTGTGTTGCTGCTGCTGACTTGAGACTTGGTACAAGGGCCAGGGGAGCCAAATATTTGTAAATGTTCAATTTAATAGAAGTGGCTAGTCTTCCTAGTACAAATACTTCCTAAATAGTAATGTTGTCCACAGTATACAAAGTCAGTGGTATATCATGTTTTGTTTTTTTTTCTTCACTTGGTCAGGGCAAATTCTAGGTAGGACAGTCAAAGAAGTTCCATGCCCAGTAGAGAAAAATAATCAAGAGCCAACTTGCTTAAAAATATGCTCCACCTGTCCTTGCTCTGTATAGCCAACTCCTTTTAAGGACCTAGAGTTGGCATGGCAGGGAGGAGGGAGGTGGTTTGTCTAACCAGTAACTAGTAGGCAACCACACCACACAAACTTCTGCAGCAAACATACAACCCTAACAGGCATACATCAAACATAGCCCCTCTTCATGCTCTACTGGATGTAAATTCACTGCTTCTTTATTATTTAATGGTTATATTTTGCATCACAACATCTCTGTATTTGGAAAAGGGACCACCATGACTGGTTTTCCAGGAATTGACCAAAGTTGACTGGTGTATCTACACTACAGGCTAGATTGTTCACTGGCAGTGTTGTCAGTCACTAGGGGAAATCATTTGGGAACTCAAATGGCTTAAGATAAGATCCTTAAATGAAGTGAGAGGGCTGAGGTTTCTAGTAAAATTGAACCAGACTAGAGACTTCGGATTTGTATTTAGATATAAGAGAACTGACAGGTAGATTAGCATGTGAGATCAGGAGTAAAAGATGGAGAGAGAGCCCAGTATGTGAAGAGAACATGAATATTTTTTTTTTTAAGATTTTATTTATTTATTTGACAGAGAGAGACACAGCGAGAGAGAGAACACAAGCAGCGGGAGGGGGAGAGGGAGAAGCAGGCTTCCCGCAGAGCAGGGAGCCCGACGCAGGGCTCAATCCCAGGACCCTGGGACCATGACCTGAGCCAAAGGCAGACGCCCAACGACTCAGCCACCCAGGTGCCCCGAATATGAATATTTGTTGCCTACCAAACCTACCTGGGATGGAATTCTGGCTCTGCCATTTACCAGCTTTTTCACTTTCAGCAAGTTGTATTTAACTGTTTTGAAAACATTTGTTCATCTGTAAAATCAGGGTTTCTGTGAAGAGTAGATATTTTTTTTTAAGATTTTTTAAAATTTATTTGACAGAGAGAGAGACAGCAAGGGAGGGAACACAAAGCAGGGGGAGTGGGAGAGGGAGAAGCAGGCTTCCCGCGGAGCAGGGAGCTGGATGCGGGGCTTGATCACAGGACCCGGGGATCATGACCTGAGCCGAAGGCAGATGCTCAACGACTGAGCCACCCAAGCGTCCCCAAATTATTTTTTTAAAGTATCTTTTAGATATTAATAGTTAACACTTGTTGAGTGCAGTTTTTAATAAACAGATGCCACCTAATATTGTATTCTTTTCATATTTCTAGTATCTACTTTTTCAGAATTACAAGCCCATAAGACAACAAGAAAACTTTCAACTGAAATAACCGTGTCAAATCCCTCTTTCCTACCTTCAAGATGTTTAATTAGGTTCTCTGACTTTGTTTTGCCATATATAAAGTGTGTAATTGGAGTAGGTAATTCATAGTATCTCTTTCAATTCTAAATTTATGAGGACTAGTTTTAGGCAGAGATGAAATAGAAGCTCACTCAAATGAGACCAATGATGATCAAAGTGCCAGAAGTTCCTCCATAAAGAAGTCATCTTTGCATTGGCGACAGCCCTATCTTGGCTTCTTTAATATACAAACCTATGTAAGAAATTGGGCACTTTGATCTTTCATCCTAAATTGTGAAAGACTGTCATCTCCTTCTCTCCTGGTAGCCTCAAGTACACAAGAAATACTGCAGGACTAGAGGGAATTAAAGGGACACAGAAGAAGCAGCGGATGTCAAAGGCTCTCTGATGCATTAATATTTTGCTAAGGGCCAGCTTGAATGATAAGATAGAACCCAATCAGGCCTCAGGGGAAACAGATTTGCAAATGGGAATTGAATAGCAACTTGGTGTTACAGCAGCAGAAACCCACCTATTAATTTGTGGATCTCAGATTTCTGTATACACAACAGTTAAATTCATTTCCAACCTTGTTACCAAGACTTTTGCAGAAACAAATAATTGATGTCTCTGACATGTTACAGCATGGAAGCAGGAAGTCTAATTAAATAAACTTGTTCAATAGCAAGTATATCTATTAGTCAGTGATATAAGCATCAGCAGGTTGATGAATGTATAAATTTTTCATAAAGTATTTGAATGTCTCCCTGACAGTCATTTGTCCCTAGATGTACATAGTTATCCATGCTTGGATATGAGATTAAGGCATTTCAAAAAAATCTTTTGTTTTTATTGTGAAATATAACACATACTGGAAGGGCATAAAACATAAAGTTACAGCTTAATAAATTATTATGAAACAAACATAAGTAGGTCAAGAAATGTAAAGTTGCCATCACTCCAGAAGCCCCCAGTCTTCCCAATAACAAATATTTCTGGGCCGCTCCCTCTTTACTTTAAAGTAAAGTTAAAGATGATTTTGATCTTCCTGGTAATTCCTTTCTTGTTTGTCTTAGAGTTCTATATTGTTGGTGTGCACCTCTAAACACTCTAGGTTACTTTTGCCTGGTTTATTAGAGTTGTTTGCGTTGATTTATTTCACTAGAGCTTGTTCACTTTCATTTTATGGTATTCTATTGCATGACTGTACCCCACTCAGTGCATTCAGTCTTCTAATGTGGCCAGTTGAGTCGTTTGGGTTATTTCCAACAGTACTCTTAGGAATATTTTGTACATGAATGCTGGTATCATGTACACACATTTTGGGGGGAATACACATAGGAATGATATGGTCTATTTACTGTTTATCATTGTTATAGACGTGTGTTTAACAGAATAATCCAAAGAGTTTTCCAAAGTGGTTGTAAAACTTAAATTCCCGTGAATAACATATAAGATATATTAAATGTTAGCACTTGCCAACATTTGATATCTCCGTCTTTTTCTTTTTTTTTCTTTTAAATTCAATTAGCCAACATATAGCACATCATTAGTTTCAGATGTAGTGTTCAATAATTTATCAGTTGCGTATAACACCCAATTCTCATCAGTCTTTTTCATTTTAGTCTTTCTGGTGGATATTGATTTTCATTTTTATGATTACTAGTGAGGTTTAGCACGTTTTCATGTACTTTTTGGTCTTTTGGATATGTTTTTTTTGTGAAGGACTTGTTACCTACCCATTTTTAAGATAGGATTGGATATCTCTTTCTTATTGATTTATAAAAGGTTCTTTCTTTCTCGCTCCTCATTTATCTCTATCATGTATTTTTCTTATGTATCGTTTCAATATGATATGATCCTTTTGTTGGTGTTTACGTTAGCAGGATCTTCTCCTACTCTTTAGCCTGCCTTTTATTTTCTCAGCAGTGTCCCTTTGATGAAGAGATCTCCTTAATTATTTTTAGTGGCTTTTATAACTTGTTTGGAAATATTTTTCTGTATTACCTTCTGGAAGCATTATTATTGTTTTTTAATTTTGGGCTGTTTACATTGAATTCTACAATCCACTTGGAATTAATTTTTGTTTACCTTGTAAAGTAGAGATTAAATTTCATTGTCTTCCAATAGAAAAATCAGTTGTCCCAACATCAT